TGCAGTGCAGGAGCCCACCCCAGCCCCTGCAGTCCTGGGGCGTGGCGGGGGAGGGGGGGCGCGGCCCAAGGTACAATTAGCCGGGAGCGGAGACGCCCTCCAAGGCTGATTTAATTAGGTGACACCGTGCCAGGCAGGGATGCGGGGGGGAGGGGAGAGCAGGGTCAAAACATTTTGTAAAATTCTGTTTCACAAACGCTGCTGCTCCCCTCGGGGTAGGGAGAGATTACGGAGTCTTCGGTGTCGATCAAGGCTGGCAAGAGGCGGCCAGGAGCGCGGGGCATTTCCTCCTCCTCAGCCTCTGCTCTGGTCCCAGGAGACATTAGCAACTTCGGGTTGCAGGGCAGGGGTGGGTGACTGGGAAGGAGACCCCCTATAAAGGGAACAAAGTGCTGTCTGTCCAACGCACTCCCCTCACCCCCATATTCACCCGAATACTGTTAGTAGCAGTTTCAGGAAGTACCTACGTTGCAAAACAGCTATCTTTGCGGAGCAGGTACTCGGCCACTACTAAGGTCGGATCTTGGTTATTTATACGCTACCTCAGTTTACTCATCTCTCTAAAAACTAAGGACCGTTCTAGAGTTGATCTGAGGAACACCGGAAGTAGATATGTGATAGTAAGCACTTCATGGCTCATTACTACTACTATGATGTTATTACTACTAGGTGCCAGGCTAGCTGTTTGACATCTTTTGACCATAATCCTTACAACTGTATGCCACAGATTTGATTATCCCCATTTTACCAATGTGGAAACTGAGACTCAGAGTTTAAGTACCGAGCTGTGTCACTGCCCTGATCTAGACAGATCCAGGAATGGAACTCGGACTGGTGCCACTTCACCATTGTGCTGCTGAGCTGCCTGTTTTCCACCTGTGACTTATCTCAGGAGACCTCAGTGGGCCCACCAGCATAACTGCATGCCTTGCCCCATCGTGTCTGGCACAACCAAGCCTACCTCAGGTACCCACAAGTGTACATGGCACTGAGTAAAAGGAAGCATGCAGCACATGTACACACATGCACACACACATGTCATCAGAGACATACAGGGTCACCCTCCCCCAGAAAGATGCTCCCACACTCACCACATCATTTAGAAGTAAAGCAGCGTGCACAGAGGTGCTTACCTGCCATCGATCACCAGGGAAAGGGGATTATCAAATGGAGAAACAGTTATCCCCAACCTCACAGGAGAGATGTAGTCATGCACAAATATACAAAGCATATAGCACTTTCACATACAAATACACCAAGGTAGTAAAACATGAACTTGTACACAGACACACATTCAGGAAGATAGTTTTTCCTTCTTCTTCTTTTTCAGGAAGATAGTGCGGGTTTTTGTGGGTTTTTTTGGTTTTTTGTTTTTGTTTTTTTGCAAGACACTATTGACACAAATACATACCGAGATACATAGCCACAATACACCCACTACCACACACTGTCACATACCATCTCATGGAGAGGTGTCGTTCCACACCCACACACAATACCCCCACCCTTGAGAGATGGAGCCAGGCATGACAGAGAGAAAACCAGTCAAAAACCAGTTCATGTACATATGTTCCCCAGATCAGTGGAGACAGGGAACCATAATCTCACAGGCTCACAAACATACAGTGGTTTCTCTCAAACCCACTGGGAAGCTGGCTTCAACCCAGGTTTCCTGCCTCCTGAAGTCTTCAGGGCATGGGGGTCAATTGACTCCCTTCTCCTCCCTCCTCCCAGCTGAGCCTCGGGCAGTAGGGACACAGTCCTCTAGCACACATGGGAGGGGACACTGGACAGCCAGTCTTGACACCTTGTCTAGCACCAGATCCAGTCCAAGCTGGGACCAGCCACTGAGACTTGGGGGACGTTCTCCCATCTCCCAAATTCACTCCCACCACGATCCCAGTCTCATGCCCCAGCATCGGGGAACAAGGGCTGTCGCCTCAAACCTCTCCCCACCTGTTGTCACCTACCTGTGCAGGTGCTCTGTCTCAGCAGCTCAGAGCTCCAGCCTGGGCAAGATCCCGAAGGCAAGTGGGTGGAGCCTGGTTCCATCCTTTGCACCCCCCAGTTCTAGCTCCCTCTGCAGCTGCCCCCTCCTGCTCCAGCCCCCCAGGGCAGCCCCTCCCTTCCCACTGCCTGCTCTCCCAGTGCTGTGTCTCCTCTTTGAAAGCCAGGCTAGGGACTGGGGGGAGGGGGGAAGATCCCAGGAGAGGAAGTGCATCTGACGGGCCGGCACCAAACCTGGGGGGCTGCAGAGGGGAGGGAGGAGCAGGGAGGCTTCTCATTGTGTGAGGGAAATTTTATTTTTAACAGATGCTAAGGCAGATGGCGCAGAATTAACAGAAAATGGGAGAGGAAAGAGAGGAAGAACATTACTGACTCCGGAGAGAGTGGACATTAAAAAAATAAAGAATAAGGGAATGAAAACAAGTTTAAGTGCTCTCTCCGGGGGGGTGGGGGGGGTGGGAGGGGAGCTGAGAGGCAGAGAGGGACAGAGCAGCGTGGTGATAACCAGAGGCGTGAAATTACAAAAGTAAAATTTGTGGGACTCGGGAGGGGTTGAGAAGGCCCCAGTTTCATTGCAAAACTCACTCAGAAATTACTGATGTGATGTTTGAGCTTTTATCATTAATAATAATCGAGAGGGGAGGGGAAGACAAAAGGACTCATGGGCTTGGAGGGTTTGAGGCACCAGGAGAAAAGATGCTTGAGCCATGGGGGAGCGGATGAGAGAAGAGTCATCTCTGTGACAGAAAAAGGAAGGGAAGAGAGCAAAACTCAGGGAGGTACAGCAGAGACAAGTGGAGAGACAGAGGCTGAATAAAAAAAGGAAGGAAAGAAAAAAAGGGGGGAGGAGAAAGAAGAGAGGCTGTAGAAAGGATACCACAGCAGGGGGCTGGGGAATGAAAGGAAACTAGACAGGAGATTCGGAGATAGAGCAGTTGAGACAAAGGAACAGAAAAGAACAGAGACAGTGATGGAGACAGAGGGCCAGAAACATGTCCACACCAGTGGGCAAGGAAAGTAGCTCCCAAGATGAGTGAGTAATGTTCAAAGTGACCACAAGCAGGGGCCAAAAGAAACAGGAGGGAGAGACAGAGAGGGAAGAGCAGAGGCCTAGACAGACAGAGAAACGCATAAAGAAAAAGAAAGGAAGAGTGAAAGACACGCGGAGGGAGTGAAAGAGACAGAAGTGGAGAGAGCAAAACTGAGACTTTGAAAAGGACACAAAAAGAGTTCAGGACAAATTTCAAAAGACAGAAAGAGATTCACACCATCAGGATGAGAAAGAGAGGTGAGATGGAAAAAGGAGGAAAGAAAAACTGAGCCAGAGGCACGGAGAAACGGAGAGGCTGTGGGGGAGGCGACAGAGAGGGCAGGAAGGGAGGAGAGGATAGGAGACAAAGAGGAATGGCCGTTTATCTCTCCTCCCAAATTAATTGAGGCTACATCAGCCTGAGCCACTAAAACGGAGCGATTATGAATGGGTTAGTCACAGGTGGAGTTAAAGGCCTTCAGAGGGATATTAGCCAAAATTGAGTGGCTTTTAATTTCTTTCTAACGAGAGACTGTGGCTGGGGAACCAGGCACCGCCTCCGCTCAACTCTACCGCTAAACACGGCGTGGGGGCAGTCCGAGCCACTCGCCACCTGACCTGTGTGGCACAGGCAGCCAAGTGGAAATGGCCATGCTTGAAACATGCCTGAAACATGTCTGTGACATGGCACACAATGTGGGGCAGCCTAATGGAAGGCCAGTAGAGATGGGGAGGAGGGGTCACAGTCATAGAAAGTGGCCAGGTCCGGGAGTATGGGTAGAGGCTGAGCAGTCTGCAATGTGAGGGAAGGTGAAAGGGACAATATACTGCCATTGGAAAGTCCTGCTATTGTCACAGAGCTCTCCAATGATCCCTGCCCCTACTTGGAGGAAAGTTCCATGGACCAGGACTGCTTTTCTCCATTGTGGAGAAACCAAGGTCCTGAGATGAAAAGAACTGCGAGTTTACACTATGTGTAATGATGCCCTGAACCTAAAGCAGATGGTGAGGTGGAGAGAGCACAGAAACACGAGTCCAGGGACCTGGGTGTGAGTCTCAACCCCCCTCCTAATTCATGGCAGAACCCTGGGCATCACCCCTTTCACGGGCCTCAGTGTCCCCATCTATAAAATGAGGGAATGAATGTCTCAGATCCCTTCCAGCTCCAATATGCTGATTCTATGCAGGTGGACTTCCTCTCTGAAGTCTTATCCAGGGGTCTGGGCATAGGAGATAGGATATGTGACCCAGACAAACATTTGTGACTGCTAGAACAAGGTGTGTGTACCCAGGAGGGTACAAGTCAGAGAAAGTGCAATGAGCTTCAAATGGTGGGTAAGCAGGTGATGAATGCTGAGCCAGGATGCTAAGGCCTAAATGAGGCCTGAGGAGAGGGAACAGCAGCATGGCCAGGAGGGGCCAGCAAGGGGGTGGCTTGAGGTAAGTCATGAATGATGATGAGGGTAGAGGATGTTCCTAGTGGGGACACCAAGAACAAAGGTGCACAGGGTCCACCCTGGCTGAAGCCAACCCTACATGAGTATACGGTGGGCAAGGGGAAGGGAGGAGAGAGAGGAAGCGGTGGGGCATGGCTCGCAGGGCTATGAGGCTTGAGGGCACACAGTAGGTTTCTGAGCAAGGGCAGGAGAGTGTTTGGGGATTTGTGTACTAGGGGAAGGTCACTATGGAACAGGAGTAAGAGGGGAATGTGGAAGCAAGCCAGCAGTCAGAGAGCTGTTGTAAAAGGATGGGTGAGCCCAGGTGAGGAGGAGAGGAGGGGAGAGGCAGAAGAAAAGAGATGGCAGGACTTGGTAACTGACAGGATGTGGGGCTGAGGATAAGACCGAATGGACGATGAGCTTGGGGTGTCAAGGCCAGCACTCTGGTGAGAGACATTGGTGTCAATAGCAAGGTGACCAACCCTGGGTAGGGGCTGAAACAGACACAAAAGTGTTGGCTTCAATGGGGGCTTGCCTGGGGTGGGAATGGCTGGGGGGGGGTGTCAAATGGGGAAAAAGAAGACAAATGTAAAACTTCAGACAATAAAAAAAAGTGTTGGCTTCCAGCCAACAGAGCACAGCGAGGCTGAGGTGAGGCAGTGCGGTTCAGTGGGAAGTACATTCATCTAAGCATCTATGGTATCCAAGTGTTTGCTTGCCTCAACCACCAATTAGCCATGAGGACTTGAACAAGATCCTCCCCACGTCTGGGCCTCAGTTTGTCCGTCTCTAAAATGTGCGAGTTTGTCTGGGCTCTTGTTAAGTTTCCCTCTAAGACTTAGAGTCTAAGTCAATGGTTCTGAGACTCAAAGACAAAGCCAGGGCAGAGACCTGCAT